TTTTCATATTAATTAACTAATATTAAAAAAAATGAAAACATAATTAAAAGTCAAATCTTATATTTGATTATGATAAGTTGAAAACCATTTCAATCTTATTCATCTATTTTGTATTTTTTTGATAATATTAATCTCTTCATTGAGAATCAAATCAAGCATATCTTTTTAAATGTAAGGCATAAGAAAATTGTTGAGCCAATCATCAATACCCATCCTACTATATAATCGATGTTTGATAATTTTCATTATAGAAAATGATCTCTCCACAGTAGCAATAATAACTGATAAAGTTAATGCTAAAGTAATAAGTATGCAAACCAGAGGATACACATTATTCTTCTTTAACTTAACAATTTGTTTTGGAATATCAACAATGTTTCTTAGAGAAGAGAACTCTTCACTTGTCTGCATATCAATAATATAAGTTGATAATTGACTTTTAAGAGCTACAACCTCAATTATTGAAAAATCACTTAAAAATAATACTGTTAGACATATCAATTTCCTCTCATCATAAGCACAAAAAGAATCACTTGGGTTTAAGCATACCACATAAAAAAGCAACTTAGTTCTTTATTCAAAAAAGTAATTATTTTGCCCTTGAAGTTATATGTCTACTATAGTGTAAAATAGCTCAATACGATATTGATGTAAATTTGTAATTTCTTCACCCCTTCGTATTGATCGATGATGATTTTTGTATGTATCATTCATGTTAGGAACAATAACTTCAAAGATAACATAGAAATGTGATACTTCATCTAGTAAAGCATTCCATTCATTATCCCTTAGTATATGAAGTCATTGTTTAGATATTTGCATCAATTTTATTGTATTTGTAATGTCTTGATTTTTTCTTTACAATAATTATGATAACTCATTAGTAATGTCCAATATATCAATCATCAAATATATTGTGAAAATAAAATCAAAAGACTTCATTAAATCAATCAGAACACCTACTTCAACCCATAATTGATCATGCACCACTTCTTCATTAACAATCTCTAGCACCTCAATTACAGAAGCATACATATACATGATATGAATCAAAGAATGGAAATGTGAACTCCATCAAGCATAACTAAATTTTTGTAAATTAGTCTTTTGATTTAAACATTGGCCACTTATGAGATTATCATTTTCAAGATGCAAAAGTATTTTGTTATGATAAATAGCTTTAAGAGCATATGATCTCTTACAGAAAGCCTCGATAGTATCTATAAATCTAGAAGTGAATTCAAAAAGATATTTTACTTGTCAATGATTATTTGCTATTTCTATCAAGCATAATTGGAGTTGTTGAGAGAAATCCTGAATATAAAATACTTAAAGATTATAATTTATAATAAGTGTCTTCAAACTATAAAAATCCCTTCGTATATTGGATGCACCATCATAACATTGATTGTGTATCCTCTGTATGCTCAACTAGTGTTTGGTGAGTATGTCTTTAATGCCTTCCTTCATTGTAAATGCATTAGTGGATGTGACATATTTGATTCCTATAAACCTTTCAATGACTTATCCCAACTTATCAACATATCTCACCGCAATAACTAGTTATTATTTCATAAAAATATCACGAGATTCATCAACTATACTTGAGAAGTAAGAGTCTCCAATATCTTTCATGATAGATATCAAAGTTTCAGCTGTTGCAGTACAACATATTTCTTTTTGGACCTTTGGTAACTTAATATTTGAGCATGAGCCCGCATATGCATATGTTACTGTCTTAATTTCTTTATTATGATTAGTCAGATAATTGAATAGCTCCAAATAATTTTCTCAATTATCTGATTTAGATGACTCATCATGCCCACAGAATGATAATCCCTAACGTAGTAGAAATTGAAAACAATCAATTACTGCAGTCAACATGATCCTATAATCTTTTTTTATTCTTATCTTCATTGCTTAGCCATAAAGCTGGTAGATTGTATTTTTGGTTCTTTGTTAAATCTTCACATTTTTTTAGTATTATTAATATTATGCTATTCAATGCGACTTAATAATTTTTCTTTATTCTTCTAGTTTTTGAACCCTTCTCCAACAAATGAGTTCGCACCACCTTGACCTATAATAATCTTCTCTTGGGGTTTGAATGGATAGCATTAAAGATAAAAAAATAGCATCTTTCTACACATTGTACTCTAACCAATCAGTGTACTCATCAAACAATTTTACATTAAACCTGCGTGCAATATTTTGAAATAAAATTTGGGGGAATTAATGACTTCTTGGTTGATGGAGTCTCTTCAATAAATATGTTCTTTGAATCTTATCTCTATCATTTACATCATAACTTCAAATTGAAAGTCGGTGTTTAGGATTTTCTTGGAGATTATTAATATCAATTTATATACGATCTTTCATCTTTAAATAATGCTCCATTTATTTAACCAAGTAAGAGCACCCGTCTATCAAAAAATTAACATCAAAATGATTGTTACACACTATTTGATAGCAAATATTCGAAACTAATGATTACAAAATAAATATTTAAATGAACATATCTATCCCATCAAGCAAATAAAGTCAGTTAATGTAAGACTAAATGCAGATAACTTTATAACACTAGAAACCGCAAGTTTGAAGTTTTATGATTAAAAAAAATTGGGTTTCCTCTACCATTTTAATTGTTCATCTTTATTTCATACCCTTTCTTTCTTATGTTCAAATTGTCACTAATTTTTCACCAAGAATAACAAATAAAAAAAATTGTTTCAATTTTTGCCTACATTCTAAAAAGAAATTATCCAAAGTTCCCTACATTCCTAGAATTGGAAAGGAAAATCAACTGCAAATATTTAAAAAAAAAAAAAAAGAAGCTTGAGATTTCCCTACATTCCCAGAAGAAATTCTCCAAAATTTAGATCACACAAATTTATAAATATTTATAAGAAAAGAAAGAATGAATCCATAAAAACATAAATAAGAAGATGAGAATTAGCAAGATTGCTCTCTTCGATCAACAAATCGCAAGCCCTAGCAACCAAAACCCTAGCACTCGATCAACATTAGCTGCTCTGAGACAAAGGATTTGATGATTTAATGATTCATTCTACAAATAGATGAGAATCATGAAAAAAAAAATAGCAGGCTAAGTAGCGGACCAAACGAGTACTATATAGGAGAAGCTGAAGACAAAAGAGTCCTCGCCTCCTGTGAATGATCGAGCAGAGCTTTGAGATCAATGAGCGGCAATTGGAGCATCACCATACTCACGACGGCTAATTTTATGGAGAATGGTGGAGTCATTATACGGGCTATTATAGAGGGAGAGCAGCGGGCACGGCCGAAAGAGTCTTTGGAAGAAGAATTGGGCGGAAATAAGTGAGAAAGCATACTTAGGGCAAATTTTAACATATGTAATGGCAATTTACTAAATAACCCTGGTTCAATGCATTGTCATGTAAATACAATCATGAATACAATTATGAAGAGCAAAGCAAGACTTCCACCTTTAATGTGATATTTCGTTATTTCATATGTTATATGTCATATATAATTAGATAAGCATTGAAATATTGGGTCTTGTCATTCCACCATAAATGTGAAAAAAAAAAATTTCCTTGCTTCAAGAACCTTATTGTTCTGCATTCATTATTATGACATGGTATGACTAAATAGTTCCAAGCATGCATATATGGGCTCAATAGTGTTGACTTTGGTGTATACTTAACATGGTATATAGTACCAAATTAATTGAATGGGATCATGAGATTCAGTATCATGAGATTCAATACGCTAAGATATTTTGTATTATTATGAAATGTAAAGTGTTGTGATCGAACGTAAAAAATAAGTTATTACACTCATGTTGATCATATACTACTTACTAGTAAAATACTTATAACCATTAATTAATAAAGATGTTAATGATGCTTACTAACAATGTGTTATTACTTATTGATAATTTATATGGTTTGTGATGCTTGTTGATAAGGATTTCTATTTCAGTCATTAATTATGGACATGATTTCAGCTGCTAAGGGCATTACACCTCTCATTATTTTGACTAAAATACAACATTGATGATGGTTGCTCATTATAGCCATCATTCAATAATGCATTATGTGAAAAAATGTATTTGCTATAAAATTATTGCCCGTCACATATGCTATCAATGTACATCATTGAGTACTCATTGCTCGTAATTTTCTTAGTAATTTGGGTAATATTGTTCTCAGGCTTATTATAGTCACTATCTCCATTTTTTTTTTAGGTGTCAACATATTCAAACTTTTTATTTTCACTTCCTCTAGACTTGTGTAATAACTATCTTTATTTTATAACATATATTACCTTTGTGCTTATCACAATCATTGCCCAAGACATATCACAACCGTCTTCTTCAGGTTATTCGTAACATTCGTCTTCTAACTTATCACTAGGGATGCTCCCGAGTCTATATCAGTCATTAGCCTAAGTTTTTAATATAGCATTTGTGCTCGTGTTTGTCATAACGAGTAGGCATACCACAAATGTTATTATTAGGATTGTTATTACCACCTCCCTCACTCTCTCCATCATCACTACTTTTTTTATTTATCATTGCTCGAAAATATTACCATTCTTTTTCTTTTTTTACTTTCAGCTTCAGAATTGCTAGACTTGATCGAGGTTTCAAGAAGAATTGACAACAATACTAGACTGACTAAATAGGAGGGAGCTAATCAGCTTAAGGAACAATTATTACGTCCTCCGACCGGACATAGAGGAATGTCCGGTCGGAGGCAAATTCCCGCCAAAAAATGAGTTGTACTGAGCAAATACTGAGCAATACCAAACAATAACGAAGAATACCATCATTTGAAGACCCAATACCGAGTTATACCAAAGTTGTACCGAGTTTTTCCCAGAAAAACTCGGTACAACTCGGTAAAACGCATTAGCCATCCATGTGATGGTGGGCTTCGCCTACGTGGAGCTAACTCTAATTTATTTCCATTAAACGGGAAAACAAAACGTAAAAAGCATTATAAATAAAAATGTAATAAATTGTGCCAACTTTTATTACCACTGCTATTTAAAATAAATTTAAAACAGGGTGTTGAGTCGAACTTTATTTTTAGGGCACATTATAAAAATTTCTCACAGCAATCACGGATTCCGAATCCGGAACCACCACTACAGTATACCGGAAGTAAGCTTTTTTTTTTTTTTTTAATCTCTTTTGCTTCGCTGGTTTGTTTTCTTTTTTCCCCTGCCGCCATTGCCGTCGCCGTCGACAAAGCGCATTAGAGATGGAGAGAGAAAATAGAAGGGTATTTTGGTAAATTCTGTTACGAAGAGAACGGGGCGCGGCGAGGTATGCCCTTTCGCCTCCGGGAGTTAGGAAGCGTGGCCGAGCGGAAGTCGCGTGACCGAACCGTCTTGTTCTGCTCTTCCTCCGCCGCATCTTCCCATCGCCGACCGCCTCCTCCGGCGGCGCTGGCAGCTGGCTTGTCGTCTTCCTCATCCGGCGGCGGCACGAAGGTCGCGTCCCCATTCCGCTTAATTCCCACCAACTGCAACACAAAGAGAAGAATCATCAGTAAAGAAAGGTCGCATTGGGTTGAGAAAAAAAAAAAGAGGAAGGAAAGTCAAGGACCTTGCAGCCTAGGGAGCAGAAGCGGAAGGGGTCGAGGAGGGATCGGGCGCAGATCTCGCACGTGTGGGGGGAGGCGCCCTTGCCGCTAGCACGTGGCTGGGGCCGCTCGTTGAGGAAGAGCACTCTGGCGCTGTTGATCACATACGTCTGCACTCCGCCAATATCCAGAACCTTCTGGATCTCCGCCACACGAACCACATCGTGGTACGACGACCGCCGTATCTGCTCTCCGCCGCCACATTAGCCGCCGCCGCCGGCAACATTTCCTTCCGTTTAATAGACACATAAAAAAGAGACAAAACGAATTGCACAGATCCAATAGAATGTAGCTTCGGCTGACCTGAATCACACGATGGCCGGCATGGAGCTCCGATCGGCAATAGAGGCAGAATGCGCCGGACTCAGCGCCGCCACAGTCGAGGCAGAACATGTTGCGTTCGTTGCGGGCGGCTTCCACATGGGCTGAGCAAATTGAAAAGAAGGGGGTCGTGAGAAGGGGTTCGAGCCACGGCGGCACCAGCGATGCCGCCACCCGCCTCATCGTCATCCCTCCGGAGATTTCGCCGGCGTGGATCGGGCAATGCCGGCAAAAACGGTCGATTGAAATGTAGGAGAAAAAGGAGAGCTCTGCAAACTTAGAACCCAACGAGAAACAACGCCCCCTTCCTCGCTTGGTGTAGAAGGGGGCGGATACAACATTGCGCACAAGGAAGGAAGGTATGGTGTAGGCGAGAACCCCAGGTTGGGAAGCCGACGTCTGTGATTGATTAGAGTTGCTGCGTGGGCTTATGAACCGTCCGATGTGCCAGGCCGGTTTGGGTTTTTTGGGGCGCTCGGCGTACGCTTCCTTTTGGGCTGTTCTTTGCGTCTCTTCGTAGGCTCGACCGCTTGCTTACGCATGGTCGCCTCTGGATCCGCTGCTAGGTTCCGTGTACCGCCTATTTTCCACAGGACTCGTGTCAACAATATATCAATCTTCGTGGGACCCGAATCGTCTGTTAGGTGCCACGTCATCACAGTAATGTCATGATATTAAATAGGAAAATAATTTATTTAGGATCTAACCAAATTTCGATTGCGAAATCCTTTACCTATTTTATCTAATTTGAATTTAATGTAATGTAATATTAAATTGATTTCTTGTGAAACTAACAAAGCTATCATTTAATATTTATTTATTTTTATGTAAATCAAAATACTTCAAATTATGATATTATATTTAAAAGTAATAAATTTCAAGCATATTTTTTCAACATGCTATTTATTTAATCTTATTTATGAAATATTTTGATTCAGTAAATAAATAAATTATTCATAATATCATGAATAAACCTGAAAGTTATTAGTTGTAAATAAGCCTGAGATTTTACTAATTTGGATTGAAAATTCAATTCATTTATTTATTTTTTGGTCCCCATCAGCACAACTCAAAATAGAAATGGTAGAAACATTCATTAATTATTTTCTTTATTAATTTCTCTCGTTTTATTTTTTTGACATTTGCTTAAAATTTTTCGATGTCATATTGCCATGCAGTTGGGAACGACGCAGCGGTGGACGAGTGGGGCCATGGTGGGCACACGTGGATGAGGTGGTCTAATATGATATGGCGTGACGGTGAGTGGCTAGGATGCCGCCGGCTCTATTGGACATTTTTAACCTTGGTAATTCCTGGAATGGCTCGGCTGACTTTAAAGCCGCTGGGCCGGCAGGGCGAGCGATCCGATGACGATATTTGCGAAACTTAGCGAAATTCGACAGGTGTCAGTAAACAGGCTCGTGAGGGCATAGGTTCGGCGTCATATTTTCTTTTACAGAATTTACCTCTTCTGATGTTTGGTCTTCGGGCTTGCGTCATAATTTTAGTCTTTTTGGTTGTCAGTTTCGTTATCTGTAACTGCGAGCCTAAATTAGTAAAACGTGTAGTAGGAAGGCTTCGCCTACTGAGTTAGAAAATTGAGCAATCATTTTTGCTATAAAGGACTGATAATTTAATTGTTAAAATTAAAAAAAAAATTCTAAAAACTTTTAATTTTTTTTTCTCAAAAAATACTGTGAATTACAGTTAAATATTTTAAATTTTATAATTTAACATTAAAAAAATATATCTCACTTACTGCACAAATAAAACAAAAAGATAGAGGTTTTATATCTATGATACAATTACAAAATAAAGTAATATCATGTAATGCATGAAGAGTTAAAAGTTTTCTAGTTATAATAATTCTTAATAGTTGCTCTTAGATAAAAATTTTGAAAATGATAACATTGATAAATGATTTATGTTCATGTAGATTTAATATTTTTTAAAAAAAATGGGGCCAAAATACCTCTCATATAATATATACATATGTTATAAATTTTTGTAAGATGTCTAAAATTGATTTATATTTATAATAAGAAAGAAGTGTGTCCGAAGGTGGTCAACGAACAGGCGGAAGCTCGGCGGTGGTCGACAAACTGGCGGAAGTTCGACGGTGGTCGACGAACAAGCGGAAGTCCGGCGGTGGTCAGCAGTAAGGAAGCTTCTAAATTCTTCTCTTCTTTCCCTACTTTCTTCCCCCCTTCATGTGAAGAATGTTGGCCTATTTATAATTTTTTTTTAGAGTGGTATGGCTTGTAAATATGGAGATGATGAAAGTCAAAATAGTAGTGGTTTGAATGGACGTCAGATATTGATCCCCTTGATCGTGGTCCATTTATTGGTCATTTGAATGTCTTAATGATATTAGAATTAGAAGATCTTGGGCTCCTTGAACTTTTCTCGTTGAGTCACTCGATTTGACTATAAACATGTCATATTTAACGATCATTTGGTTATCCAATTAATGCATTGAGACATCCAAATATGCTTTGAACCCTTGATTTGGGCTCATTTGTGCTCGGATTAAATCAAATTTGTTGTTGTTGGATTCCGCTCCATGAGATGTTCAATTTGACTAAAAGTTTGCTGGATTTGGAGATTAGACGGTCCCCATTTGAATTTTGAAACCTCAATCTTATATTTGCATCGAGATTTGTGCTTGATCAAGATGATTTTTGGTGACGTATCAATATTAAAAAGATCATAATGATTTTGATGTATTCGATTTTCAAAATTTTGTCACATCGACTCGTTTGGACATTTAGTGTTGAGAGCTTCCAAAATGACACTATTCTTTTGATAATCATAGACATAGTCTATTGCGATTACCATTAGGCTATATTTATAAACTCATTAAACTAGTTGCTTAAATTGGCCTAAGGGTGGGATCATTAGATCACTTTCAAAGATAAGGGAGGGACAATCTAATCTTTTATTATTATTATTATTATTATTATTATTATTTGGAGGGACAATCTAATCATCTTTAGTAGCCTTTACAATTTTCAGGTGTTGCTTCATCGCCGCCTTTAGGTTATGTCATCTTCATTTCAAGGGTTTAACTAATCTAACCACTTTCAATGACCTCTATAATCTCCCTACATTTCTCCGCCATGATCTAATATTATGAAGATATGCCATAACAAAATAATTAAGAATTTGAACATAGTTAAGAGTTTCAACTTTAGCTCGAAGATAAACAATTTGATACACTTTCAACTTTGAACCAGCTTGGATCGAAATTAATGATTAGACTAATGAACCAAGTCAAATCCAACATGAACTTGAATCGATTCATGCTTGGATTAAATTGGGCTATCACAACAACTTGGGGAGTATGTACACATACCTCTTAATGCATATATAAAGATTTCAATATATATATAATTTATCTTAGTAGATTAAAAATTAATCTTAATAAGATCATTTCTTAGCTCTAATCGAAGTTAAGAAGTCATCTATGGATCAGATGGAGACAACTTATAATCATATTTGGCTCAACTCAAGATGTGATTGAATGGCAATTAACAATGCTAAACAAGTCTTACATCAACAAAAATAAATTAGGTGAAGGAAAGATGCTGGCCACTAATTAGTTCCCTATTTTTTAGTACCAGCAGCTATTGTCTTCTTGATGTTAACTTCGGATTTTTTTGGCATAAACTAATGCTTCATTTGGGTCGGCTTTCTTACTACTTTTTAAACTGGACGGCTCAAGGGCAACCAAAGAAGAAAAGAGTAATTGTTTCATGTAACAAATCTTTTTCTGAGTCCCACCCATCCAACAGACTTTCTGTCTGAGCAATTCATCTATCATCTGGTTATAGTTCAATTGTTATCATCTATTGTATCTGTTTTATTTTCAGAATTTTGTTGTAACTGTCTGTAGTATTTTAATTTTGTTATTCCGTATTGTTAAGTTAAAACTGTTTAAGTTTCTTTTTTTGTATCTGTAAGACCTGATGTAATCAATAAAATGGGCTATGCCCTCGCTTTTCCCAAAAAATAATAATAATAATAATTTTTTAGTAAAAAACTTTTTAATTCAAAATTTTTGTACTAAAAATTATTTTAGAAAATAATAAGAAAGCTGTCCGAATCAAAATCTAAATTTAAGTCACAACGTGGCCTTCATAATAAGGAAATGCTTTCATTAATGGATTTTATAAACGAGAGTTTTCATGCAAGTATCATGGCATGTGGCAAACTATACCCCTAAAAGGCAACGCAAGCGATCAACTCGCTTTACAAACGTACGTTATAAACATTTAAAATTGGAAGGTTTTAAACGCAGCTTTTTAGCCACAAAGCGTTATAATATATTCTTCGTTTCATCGTCATTTGTTTCTGTTCTAAGTAGAAGAGTCCAGAACAAAAACTGCTGACTTTATCATAATTATCATTTACAGTTTTAGTATTATAACTCCTTGATAGTTAAGTCCTGCTATTGTGTTCAGTTTATTTGGTGGACAGTTTTTGAGGTGAGAAAACCTTAATACATGAGCTGCTTCTTATCTCAGCCAGAGAAAGTTGCCAACTGAAAGAGAGCAAAAATAAAGTTACTTAGCTTAATCAAAGGTTTAAGTATAAATTTGCAAGAGAAATGATATTGGGGGAGGTCACTTCCCTCACTAATAGATATGAGTTTTAAGGAAAGGTCATGTATGTAATATTACATTTAGGTTTATTGACAAATTGTTTTTGTATAATTCAAATATTTGAACTTCAAATCATGAAAAAGATAACTTTAATAATAGTTAGGAAAGGGAGAGGAGTAATAAGAAGAAAACAAATGAAAAAAAAAAAAAAAAAAAAAAAAAAAAAAAACAATGAGATTGGGAGGGAAACAAAAGATTAATGAGAAAAAAAAAAAAAAAAAAAAAAAAAAACAATGAGATTGGGAGGGAAACAAAAGATTAATGAGAAAAGTTTTATGAAAAATACCAAAAAGGAAAAAAATCAAGAAAAAAAAAAGCAAGGAGTACAAGTTGTGATGCATTGACACAGTGAGAATATGAAAATGACAAGAAATTTATGTGGGATAAATAAAATCATGAGATTATAAGATATAAGGAGCTTGGACTATATATTGAAATTATATTTAGTATTAATAATAAAAACTCTCTTCTTCAAAACTATAGTTTATTTCTAAATTTAAAATATAATACAAGTTATTTGTTGGAAAATTTATGGGCATAACGATTTACAGTTAAGACTCAGTTTATAAGAAAATCATACATGCATATATATAGAGTGAAAGTTGGGCACACAATGAGCACAAAAATATTTTACATGAAAAGTTAAAATGAAATAGTTTTGAATTGGGTGGACAACAAATT